TGCTCTCAAGTATCCACTTTTCTAGCCTCTGCAGGATTTGAAAATCAGAACTCAGTGTATCTGCAATCAGTTGACAAGCAGAAATGTGAAATGCAAGTTGTCGCGTAAGATCTCTGGTCTTTTGCAATCTCGTCGCCACGTATCTTTCCATTTCGGCCAATTTCATCGTCTGTATAGCGTTTTGTTCAGCTATTATACAACATTAAAAAAAGTATTATTAATCTTAAAAGTAAAAGAACGAAACATAAAAATATCTAAATATACATTTTAGAGACTTGGCCTTTCCATGTAGGATAGGGAAAACTTCGCTGCACGGGGTGTCTCTCACTTCCCCATAAATTTGATCTTTGTCTGGGTCAAGTTTGGTCTGGGACTCGCCCAAAATTCCTGTACCAACCTTTATTTCCACAACCTCGTATAATAAACCAGCGTAAGTGACAGGAGTTAAAAGTGGCGTAACTAAGTCATAATTTCTGTCCATTATAATTAAAGCTCCTATTTCATTTTCTATATTAGAGGAACCTAAACATTGCCTCATAGACTCCATAATTTTAAGCATTTGTTGACTATACTTTCCAAATGAAAGTGTCAGTTTGGGCGAGCCAAGTATAAGCTGTAGTGACCATAAGCCACGTGCCAGTGCTGGTAGCAAAGTGGTGTCTTTGTGATAGTAAAGGTCAGTAAACATACAGTTCTCTAAAGATAAGATGTTTCCATCTAATCTTATGAATTCCCAGGATAGTGTTTGCACTGTGACCAACCCAGATAATCCTAAACAAACATTTGCATTCTTACTTTAATGTAACTTTAACCATTGCTAGTATTACATTCAATGATAATCACCCTCTTCCTCGATTATTGAGTTGAGGACAGTCGGTACAAATGGAGTAACTAAGATATGGTGGCAGGGTTGTGCATGTGGCCTAACATTTGGTGGAATTTCTGACTGTATTTGGTCTAATACTCTTTTGCAAGCAATCAGGTCGCTTGAAACAAGAAATATGTGTTGAACATTTGAGAGTTTTAATCCCTGCTCCAATTTATAGATCTTTTCAATGCCATAACGTCTAGATACAAGAGACATACATTATTGAATATATATCAGGAAATTAATATGTACCAACTAATTGTTTAAGATAATTACTTGAGCATGGAAACCCCTACAAAACTGTCCAGGATTTTCATCAGTTTTTGTTCTATCACCAGGTCTTTGGTTCCAGGAATTGCATCCAATATTTCAACTAATTTTCGTTGACTTATTTGTTGCAATACATTCAATCTATCGTCTAATGTGATGTCCATGCTTCAGAGAATTTTTTTATTTAAATATTATATTAATAAATATTCTTTCAAAGTTCTTTAACCGCGAGGGTTAAGGGAGCGTCGTATTTTTTCCTCAATTGATATAATATTCATGCAAAATTAAAGACCGTATCTATTCATTTGAATCGTAAACTCCTTTCTGACAGATTAATCTTCAAAACTGTTGTTCCTTTTAAAAGGAGCACAACAATGACTCAGCTAGTGCACCCATGCAGCAGAGCCTCGTAAACCGGAGTGATTCTAACACTCACGCGTATATTTCAGTAGGGTTATTTAAAAATGGCGGACGCATCGTCTTCCGATACTACCTCAGATTGTTGCAATGAATGGTTCTCTGATATTACCTCCGAAAAATCGGAATACGTTATAGTGGGACAGAAGCCGTTCGTCTCACATCGTCGCAGTAAAAGGCATTTCTTACAAAAGCTATTTTTAAGAGAGGTAAGGCCGCTTAACCTTTAACCCATACAGAAGCGTTAATGAGATTGACAAACTCTTGGTATCTGTCAAAATTCTTTCTTAAACTGAGAAAAAATGACTGACACTTTGGGAGAGAGAATTTCAATTCTTGCCTGACTTTCAATGGCTGCAAGAAAAAATGTGCTCTTGTTCTTGCCCATGAAGTTTTTTTATTTTCCACTTTTTTCCTTATTGTAATTTATGTGAATAAACGCCTGCATGATATCTACGAAGTTGAAAGAAAAATCGGTCTAATATAAAACTAGGTATTGTAAAAGGAATAAATATGTTTTCTTATAGATCAGAGGTTGTTTATCAGCGCACAATTATGCATCAGAGGAAAGACTTTTTGCTACTGTACCTTCATGGAGACATTTACCCCTTTTACATGTAATCCCAAAATCAGCACTAGAGGCAGGGTATGTTTGTAGCATGTATACATTTATATGACAAGGATATAGAATAAATTGAACGAATGTTTCTCCATTGCCAATCTTGTAATAACAATAATTATTATTATTGAAGACACATTGTAATGGGATTGACACAATGTGGTCAGTTTTTACTTACATACACATACACCATGGATGTGAGTGGTACTACCTCTTTGTACAAATACTTGTTACATTGGTGGGCTTTTACTCCAAACCATGTTGCACGTAAAGTTGCAGAGGTCACACTTTTTGGTAATTACACTATCTACAGAGAACTTAGTATTGTTATATCTCAATGGCCAATGGAAAGGAATAAGCTAGTAATACATGGTCTTTGGTAAGCTTCCATCCAGTTACCTTATTTATATCAAATCCCTTAGATTTTTTTTATAATAATTAATAAGTACAAATCTCTAGTACAAACTGGCTGCACCTTCAACCAACAGACAGAGCATACTTAACAATAACTACTGTACCATCTCTTGAAAACTGTAAGGACTGTTTAAAAGTTGCTGCATCCTATGAAGAAGAGGGTGAAGGTAACACGGCATTATATGCATGAAAGGAATTATAGTATGTGAAAAATTGTCTTTTTTATATTTTTCCAGAGTTAGCAGCAAACTGGGATGGTTGTGTACGATGTAACTGTCTTCAACACGGACTCACTGTTCATACGACCTACGAAGTAATTTCTCCATATCCTAGGTTCCGTGCTACTGTCTGTTTGAATTACTGGAATCATGTGGTAGTTAACACAGGCAACTTTTTACATGTGCTTAGGGTGGACTTGGACATTCCGAAATCGAAAAATCAGAAGTCCAGTGATAAACAGGACACTGTAATTTCGGACTCAGTGCCACTAGACATGAGTGACGTTGAGGAATTGGACTACACCAAGGGTGTGGAACGGTATGAGAGTTCTGACGAGAAAGTGGGCACGCCCGAGTGTACCGAATTGAGTATAGAACATGACTTTCTAGAAGAACCAATTAAATTAGATGATAAGTTAGTCCGTGATTCGTTAAATACCTCAAGCAGCAATCAAAGCGACTGTGTCTGTGATATAAATAAATCTATCGATTCCGTAAGTGTTAAGTCGTGCGAGTGCTTGGACGTAAGTGAGTGTAAATGCTCGCGAACTGAGCAGCAGGCGATTTCCGTGAGGGACAAGATTCTGCAGGACTTCTGCGAGGACATGTCCCAGGAACTGAATATTGGTAGTGATCTAATTACTCTAGTAAAACATCCATCGTGTTCCCCGCGTTCCACGCCCCAAAGGCTTCCTTCTGATCTCAAGACGATGACCTGGTCTTCGCCCATTCTCACGCCACCCTCGGATATCCTGAGAACCAGGAATTCAGAGTCTAGTCACAAGAGCACGCGCAGTCAACGCTCAAACTCCCCTCAACCTGGTGCTTCGAAGGACAGCAACGTCACGTCTGTCAATTCTCCCCTTCATTCGATCTCTATGAGCCCATCCTCTTCGAGATTGATGTCGCCGCCCATCTCTAGGTCCTTTCGCCACCCCAGTCCACGTAAACGATCTAATCTACACTCTCCGCCGCCTATGGTGAACTCGACGCAGTCGAGGACTACCAGAGCAACGCACAAGCTTATCCTCGAGGCTGAGAAGGCTTACGAATTCACGGACGAAGCGCAGGAGACCTGTGAGAAGCTCAGCTCGTTCAGAAAACGTAGATTGGCAGACAAAAAGTACGAGTTTTGTGATGAAACTGAGGACGCAGAGAACATAGTTCCTTTCAAGCATATAAGGGATCAATTTAAGCATCGGGGCTGTTCCATACACCAGATACCATCCTCTCCAACCATGTCGCCTGCCCTGCCAAATGGTAAGAAGCATTGGGTGGATTCTGACCAGAGTGAAACAGACGAATTCAATGTTAGTCAGGATATCGGCGTGTCCGGTGACTTAACTGTGGATTCAGGTAAATCAATTAGTTATGTAAAGGGAAAACTTGATTCTTAAATAAGCTTGATAAATGTTTTTCTTTTTTTAACTTTAAAGCGGAGAAAAATGTGCTGCGTCCATTGAACCAAAATCAGCTACCCAATGGAGGCATAAGCAGGGATCGTTCTAGCAAATATTCCGTGAATTCTTCACCACTTGTTCCGAAAATAAATTTACAGTATCCTAGTATAAAGTGCACGGCACACTTTAAAAGGAGCTACATAGAGCTTGACGATGAAATGATATCGGTTATCACAGATGTCGAAGGTATATTGTAGCATTAATCGTTTAGTGATTGGAATAAAAATAAAAAATGATAAAAAAAAACGAGCATAAGTATACATACATTTCACAGATGAAGAGACAGGGGGATATGTGAGTTATCAATGTGTGCTTCCTATGCACGTCCATGGGTCTGGATACGTCCAAATGCAAATGATCAGTAATAGTAAAGCTGAAAAATTGGTACTAGGTTTATTAAAACTTAAAAAAAATCTTACAAGATACATTTAACCAACAATTATTACTTTTACAGATAGTACCATGTGTTTCGATAAATCAATTAAGTTTTGATATTGAAACATTCTCTCATCACATCGCGGATTGGATTTGTATGAGATTCAAAAAGAGATACTGGCATTGCAGCGACTATGACATAGAAATAATAGACGTGTGCGCATTAAGTGGTGACATTATCTGTCTATTAATCATGAAGATTCAGGCTAGTGAAATTGGCAGTCAAACTCAGTGGTTAGTACTAATTTATGTTTAAGAGTGTTCAATGTATTTTGAGTACTTAATTCGATGGTATGCATGATGTAGCTCGCAGGAGAGAAAGCAATATGAAGTAGGGTGTAAATTTACATGGAACATAGACACGAGTCAATACAGAATAACAGATATACTGCCAATGGAAGAGGTAAAGCCTGAATCTTGGAAACCAAATTGTATGAACGTTCCAAATTTTCGGAGTCCATTGTGGAATCCTACTCGGCGGTTGGCGCCAAAATTAAGAGAGAAAATCCAACAACCGTACGCCCACACTGTACGATTTTTGCATAATGAAATGACACTGGCAGGTGAGTGTTTTCAAAATGAAATTAATAATTTAAGCGATAAAAAATATTAAAAAAAATGTTTCAGGTGAGTCCATAACCAGGCTCTACGATTTGGATAATTTGGTGGAATTTTATATAACTCCAATGCCAAATTATTCTTCGATCGAATAAGATAACGTGTTGTGCCGACGATATGTTGCAAACAATAATTTATTTATTGTTACAAATCTAAGAGTTTTTTCATCATCGATAAGATAGCGTGTACAATGTAATTAATGTATTGGAAACATACCCCATACATAGACTTACAATAACTATTTCGGAGAAGTCTTTAGTTACAAGCGTGAATAACAACTGTTGTAACACGTTATATTATGGATTCTTACTGTGTTTTTTCACAAGACTACCTAAATAAGTTGATTGTTAAGTGCCGCCCTGTAATGGATTGTCCAAAAACTTAACGACATAGACTAAGGGTACTGAATAACGATACAACGAACGTTACAAGCGTCTGCTTGGATTTTGTAAATTATATTCTAATACTATACATTGACTATCTATATATATATTATAGATAACTTGGTTAATTACCAGATTATAGGTAATTGAGAACTGATTGTCAATGAATGTATCGTATGTGGTTCGCAGTAAGACAAAGAGTAAAACAGCGATAAATTATTTAGTATTTGGTCCCAAAAAGAATTCGAAAGGAAAAAATATTATCTCAATGTATTTTAATTGATTCTCTAATGCCGAAAAATTTGCCCTAGCTAGATTTGTAGGATTAAATATACATTCATTTAATTCATCTTTGCATTAATCTCACCATCACGTATTGTATCATAAAGCCATTTTACCATAAACTTTTTTATATCTGGAAAATTATGAGATACATAGATGAACGTGCAACCGTGTGCGATTAAATGCACTGTAATTTATGTAAGTACCGTTCGAATCTTCGGCACAAAACATTTAAGACTCGAGAGAGACAAAGTTATTTAATTGAAACAGCGACGATGAAGCTGGTAAGGTCAGATTCTTAAATGCAATAAAACGTTTGTCAGTACTGACAAATCTCTGTTCACCTTCCTTTCTTTTACCTTTTCTAATTGCGTAAAGTATTTATTGTATGTACATCCAAAAAGAATGAAAAATTGCACGATTCAAACAGGAATCTTAATGGGTGGTCCTACGTGAACGTCGGATCCTATTCCATCTAACTTCAAACCAGTGAGAATTTCCTCCCATGCGTTCATACATTGCTGATAATGTCGAATTTGTCTGTCAGCCATTGAAATTAACATATTCTTCAAATCCATCTGCTTCTCCACATTCCATCTTTGCAAATCGCTCCTTAAATTCTCGTTTGCACATTCTACACGATCTTGTAATAATTCTGTTTGCTTTGCCAGTCGCGGAATGACCTGGCCGAGTCTCTCCAATTTTTCATCGCGAGATTCTGCTTTCCAGAGCGAACCACCCCAATTCTGTGCCAATGCATTGCCACTTATGAGGCCCATCAGCTGTTCGAATAATTAATATATCATAATTTATTAACAATATACGAATTTATCGATTAAATTTGATATTTACCTGATCTTTCTCCAGTCTTTTTTTGGCTAACTCGTCCACAGTCATTTCATATTCAATCTGCATCGAATCTCGTCGAGACAAAGCACTTTTCACTGCATCTATATACGAAATATATTCTCTTTCATCATTTGGAACATTTTCCAGAAGTTTTTGGTGAGCCATCGCATTACATTCTATCGCTTTGGCTATTGCTAGTAGCATAGAAGCTAATTCTGGCTCAGAGGTTGCCCATAAAGTGAATCTTGGGTGTAACTGATGCAATTCCACCAAATAGTCTAATGAAAAATATATAACTCGATGGAATTTTTAATAAAAAGTAGCTGTAACACGTTTAGGGAAATTATTTTCTATTGTACCTTGTCTCTCTTTATGTATGCGGTGGTTTATTTTATCTATAGTCGATAATTTATCGCTAAGAGCTGTACAGTAATCTCGAATCTGCTCGAATTCAAAGTGATGCTGTTTCATGATGTACGTGCTCGCTATATTTTGCAGAGAATCGGTCATTTTAACGAGAACATTTCCACGATTCTTACGGTATTTGAGGAATTCCTAGGAAAAATGAAAAGTATAACATCCAAAAAGTATAACATCCGAAAAACTAGAATATGCTTACTGCTGGTTTAGTGGTTAAAAAAGTGTGCAAATTTTTGTCACAGCTAAGAATGGGATGATTTACAATTCTGTTGAGAAACACATGTAATAGTTTCATGCGTGCTATAATAAATTCTTTGGAGTAACGATCTAACTGTGCAAGTAATGTATGCTTTCCAGGCATTGGCTGCAATAATAAGATTAATGTACAACTATTCTCACAAGTTATAACACTATCTTAGGGGTAACAAGTAAACATAAGGGCTAATGAGCTTCTGAAATGTGCAATGTCTCACTGGAATGATATGTGTAGGATAAGAATCCACTAATTTCTGTCGTAACCAAATAAAATCATTGTAACGTCTTCGAACAATATATTCTCCCTCCTCAAATTCAGCTCTTGTAGACTAAAACAATACATAAATGTCATTACTATTGACACATATACATTATAAAACTACTTAAACAGAAATTTACTTTTGTTGCGATACGAAAAGTAATATAGGTTTCAAGGGTCTCAACATGCTTCTGAGGATTGTCTACTTTCACTTGCAAGTCCCTAGAGTCTGTCTGAAAATCTGATATTTCTTGCTCTGGCAGAGTAGAGAAACTGTCAATTGAGGGAGAAGCTATCTGAAAATTGAAACGTAGTTTTAAAGCATGTAAATAATTAATACTGTAAAGTAATATACAGGGAGATTCGTAGCTTTTGTTAACACTCAATTAATTTTAATTTCTGCACAATAGTTGTACAACGCCTGACAAATAAGTTACAGGTTATATCCTTACCACAGAACCCTCCACGGAGGTGCTACAATTCGAAAGGAAATCCACGTCACGGCTCTCCTGCTTAATAACACCGCCGACTGCCATTGTGCTTACTTCTAAAATCGCAGAGTCCTCAGCGTTCTTCTCACCTAAATTCTCCACTTCGATTTCCGACGAAGTCATCATATTTAAACCGTCAAGCAACCGAGCATTAACGACACTGCGTCACAATGCGCGGCGTTAGACGAAGTAGCAAGTACCGTACGCACATTGATCATGTTTAAAATACTAGCAAAACTTTTGGAATAAATAAACTGATATACTTAAACTACAATCTATAAATATTAGAATTTAGCCGTCCTTTTTAGCTAGATTTCTTTTTGGAGAGAAATCGTATATTGTTCTATGTAATTGAAAAACTATAATTCAATCGTCAGTTGTTTTGAAGTGTAGTCAAAGAAATTTTGTGACATTCTGGAGCAAAAAGCGAATAATTCGCGCCCGTGGAAACCGTATCTCTAGGATACAAAGGAGATAAAAAATTCGAAACTCTCATTTGGACCTCGTGGAAGCATGGAGTGGCCGGAGGATGAAGAATACGGCCCTATTTTTTCTAAGAGATATTCTATAATGATGGCGGAGGAATCCTCGTTGCCGATTATTTATTACCGGTCACAAAATTCATTTTCGAGTAAGTTTTATCCTTCCTTCAAATCGTTATGGGTAACTCAAATGTAAAATAATTTTTTTCTTTAATTTTTACGAATTTTTTGTCATTTAGTATCACATATTTAATTACGCATTTAAATTTCATCTGCATTTATTCGTTTTTGGTACCATGATAAAGGTAATTACGCTCATGGACAATCAATAATATGCGATTTCTCAGTCTCTGATAATTTCAAATAGCGCGCCGCGTAAAAGCGCAATGAATTCATATGACTTATCGGTTCAAACGAATCAAAGAGAATTACAATGGATTTTCAGACGTTTCGTGTAATCAGGTAAAAATCGACGACTAATCTGAATGATAATTCATCGAAACAAAGCAAATGTCATAATGCGGTGACGAGTATCGTATGTAGCTTGCGCATTAATATGCGATTGCGCACGCACGTGAGTCTCTACCACCTAACATTTCTGTAACATTTTACGGATAACATTTACTGCTCTTGATGAATTGATTCCTTATGAAAAAAAAGTTTCAAATTAAATTTTATCTGAGCAAGCATTATAGATTTTAGTGATTTAATCGAATGGTCGGTCGACTATTAGTGTAAAAAGCGGGGCACGCGCGCCACTGTCCATAGGCGTATCAATAATTTCATAGCCCCGGTACGAAGTATCAATCTTTATAAATTGTTTTGTAATTTTGCCTAGCAAGAGTGCAATATGTAATTTATTGAATTAAGGACTACATTTGAAATTAATATTTAAGTCAATCCACTAGCTTCTATTCAAACCTGAACCTGAAACTTGCAATACATAATTTCAATAAAAAAAAAAAATTAAAGTTAACAAATATTGCAATATAAACTCTAAATTCTATATTCCTATCGCGAAAGCACGTATTGCTATTTAAAAAAAGGGGGGAAATAAAGATCAAAGAATTAGAGGAGGCAAATGAATGTTTAAAGGGTGTGAACAATGCTCATAGTTTATGGTGCTCGTTTTGCAATGTAATGGTTATCTGGAGCCTCGTATAGGAGGATTAGGTACGGTACTGGTCGTGACGCGGGCAGTGATGCCGTAGCCAAGGAGACCGCAGCAGCAGACAACCAACACTCCGACTAGCCGTCGACAACAAAATATACAGGTTCGTCGGAGTGTGTTGCTCCGCTTTTTCACTTGTACGCTGGCTTGGCTATCCGCGTGGTTTCCTGGGTGACAAGCACGGTCGTTTCTCAAACGGGAAAAGTCGGGTAGAAATACGTGGGGGGACACGTTCGGCCGCGCAAGTGCGCCCGGGCGTCGTGTTGAAAGTACACGCCATTCATGAAGACAGGTGAGTAAAAAAGAGACGTATGAACCGCGCTTTCTTACTCATTCTAATTATCAACATCATTCTGCGTGTTTTCGTGATTCTCGTAATTGTGACCGCGGGATTAGCGTATAACATGTTTGAACAGATCGGCGTCTTATCAGCATCTGCTGTATTAGTTTTACCGTTCGCATATATATATATATATATATATCAGTACATATTATCAATATGTTCAGTGACAGTTGACATATAATTATTGAAAGTTTTGCGCTAAAATATTCAAATATCCACAAATATAGTGTTCAAGAATGTTTTAGACCTTTGTAATTAAGTTCCTTGTTGTTGAAAGAGCTTACTGTGGTCATTCTTATGTTGGTACTCTGCTTTTTTGTGTGAACATTCTGTTGAGTATTGAGATACATTGTTAAGTCTAAGATGTTCTAAATTGATGTTGTTTTGAAAATATTATTCATCTTAAATAGAGTTTCCAGTTATCCCTTGTAGGAAAGATTAATTAATTTCTCTTCTATAGAAAAGCATAGCAGATTTCTTGCTTCAGATATCCCCTTCATTGCATTACGCCTTGGTGATTTTATTGTGCACCCTACCAGGGGGGTATCTAATATTTGGGAGCCTCTATAATACTTAATTAAAGTAGACTTATCAATTTTATCAATGTATTCCTCGAGGTATGAAAGAACAAGCATAGCTGGGGACATCCACTTTTGACCATTAAATTATTGTCTATAATATATTAAATCAATTTGAACCCTTTATGTGCTGCAATAAATTAAAAATTTTATGTATTTTTGTATTAGTTATTTCATGTATATGTATATATTACCTTTGTTATTTTCTTGGATTTGTTTTACAATTTTCAACAGCATGAAGAGTTCAGAAACAATTTATTCCATAAGTGTTTTAAAGGATATATAGGTGAAAGAACAGGGAACATGCACAATGAAGTAACAGATAAGGTGTGCATAGCACTCCCAAGCTTCGGTCATGCATAACAGAGGCCAGGTGCACACACAGTATGCTTTCTAATGTAATCACCACTTTCCAGAGTGACATAATGCCTTAAATCAAATAATATCCCTGCAATATATCATTTAATTATATTTAAGAATTTTTATTAAAAAAGAAGAAGAAAGTGTTATAGAAGGATTATTATTTTTGTTTTTATAGAATACGCGATAAAAATTCTTCCGGTATTTTTTATAATGTCAAAACCTTATCTTTTTCGTGGGCATCCAGGCTAATTATAAAATTTATTGCTACCAGTGGAAGGGAGTTTTAAAACCCCCTAATTGCACCTATGATCCGACCTTTTCTACTGGTGCTTCCAACCCCCTTGACAAGAGTTCTATGTCCAGTCACGCGTATGCTGCATTTTAGCCACCACCCCTCCTCCCTCCCTTCGTTTTCTTCCCTTTGAAACATTGTGTTTGGTACCTGCCACCCTACAGGTACAGGATGTACCAACGTGTTATACACACGTCCAAACGACAATGACGTGTTTCATTCGTATTGGAAGTTCTTCGGGGCTTCCCTTTGATCTGAAGATTATTGAATGCTGCACACCTGCGACAAATTATATAGGCGATTCTTATTATATGTAGGTTAGGGTGCCTGTTAAGTTATCGCTATATCTAACGGCCGATTCGCAAACAATGTCGTTCGATCTATGAATATAAACGACATGTTTTACTAAATTTATTACAACAGAAATGAAAAATTTTATTATATTTTTATTTTTACGATACTTGTACCATTGTACTTGAATATAAAAAATAATTAATGCATCCTTGCACAGAAAATATATTTAAAATTTGTGTTTATTTATAAAATTTATTCTTCTTCACCTGATTACTTTCTTTGAATTGAAGTAACTTTGTCATTCCACTTACCAAATAATTATATTTCTTGGCAGCCATACTTTGTAGGATAGTCAAGCAGGTAAAAGGAATTTATATCAATCCATCGTGTATCATACCCATTGGAAAACATTATTGATATTTGTTGCATTTGTATGAGTGTACATTTACAGATTCTTCCCTCCATAAACGGGGAGGTAGTAGTGGTGGTGATACGGTGGGAGTAGAGAGAGGTGAAGGAGTGATTGCCATGACTACGACAGGAGCCCAATATGCCCTCGCAGCATCCACCAGAGCTAATAACAGTGGGGGTAACTCTACCACAGTGGGGGTGGAACCTAAGCCAAGCGTCGTTGTCGTGACTACTTCCAGCTCCAGTGGCAGTGGAAGTGCAGCACAGAGTCAGTCCACAAGAGGACAGCAACTTATCACTGTTGTTACCAGTCCTGATCCTTCTAGCCCAAGCAATCTACAGCCCATTCAGGTTGGTTCTATTACATTGTGCTGATCTCTTTCTTGTCCAAAATGTGATTTCTTCCTTCAGAAAATTTAAGATTTATTTTAGTGAAGATGTATTTAATAATCTAAGAAAGTAATTCTACATATAATCAAGTGTACTGGAGGATGAAGAATTCATTTTTAAACATTTCTATTACTATACAGCAAGTTACAGTTGATCATGAGAACATGCATACTATGAATAATAATTTAGTTATTGGTTCAGGATCCACTTGAAACAGCTGCAGATTCTTCCAACGGATCAACAGGTACTCCAGCGCATGTTACAGCACAAGTCGTAGTTAATACTACCCATTCTGGTCAACATACTCTTGTTGATTCAGACGCAGCGTCCACATCGGCTGGCACCATCGTCGGCGGATCTCCACACTTTATAACGGTAACAGGTATGTTTTAAACTTCGAGATACTTTACCATTACAATCTTGTAAATGTTCAACAAAGAGTCTCAAAGATTAGTCTTAACGATTAGCGTTAACGTGTATAAAGGAAATCGCGATGATAAGTTGAGTTTTCATAAGACTCCTTATAAGTCGTTATATTAGGGGTGAGTATCAGGATCAGTTTGAAAAAAATTATAGTGTTTGAGTAGAGATTTGGCCCTTTCCATGCTGCTGAAAAACATGCACCTCTGTTCTACTCTGACTACACTAGGCACCAGTGACTCACCATCCTACGCGTCCCTCACAACGGCAGTAGGTGAGGGCAGACTATAATCGGCATGCATTATTCTGTAAAATAGCAATGTATAATTTATTAATATACATTAATTGAGATTGCATGTAAAAATAACGAGAGAAAATAAATGTAAACACGTGGATACTATAAATACAATATTATTTCAAGAGTGCAAGAGCTTATATAGAAGTACTCTGAAACGTTGTGTGCATCCCTCAAAGCTTTGTTCATGTGTCAAATTATTAATTGTACAAATAAATTGAAATACACAATGTTTGTTTCAGTGTCAGGTGAACCAGAGGCGGTGGGGTCCGAACCAGTCTCACATCCGACCTATGTTCAATATGTTGAGGGGGATACTTCCACGTATATACCGACAAATGGTCAGATGTATGTATATCAATACCATATTTAAGCAATTTCATTTAATTATGCAATGTGTGATTTACAGGACATATCCTGTATATGCTGTTGGAGAAGCAGGAGCTATGTACACTCCTGCATCCAGTCAGTATTACACACCGGCATCCACACCAGTAACATATGCGCAGGTGATTTATAAAAAATCCTATCTTCAATTAATGAGATGCTGTGGCCAGCCAAGCATATAATGTGTGTCCTATGGTAATATCATCGATAATGTTCCATGGTATTTAGGTCACTGGTCAAGGTTCAAATTCTACAACTGGACAGTTATTATCTCAGGGCAATGGCACATATCTT